CAGATTTATTGAATTTGAAATACATGAATCTACGAATCTGTCTATAATCATTATCAAAATTAAGAACAGCAATTAGTATGAACAATTAAGCCAAAAATATAGAAAGTTGGACAATTTTGGATTTCTTTGACACTTCTAAATTCGCTCATTCATAATAATTATCACATACATAATGACAAAACTGCAAACAAATCACGAGTCAAATGTATCATTTATCAAAAATTTAATAATATAAACTTATTTAAAATATAAAAAATTACAAATTATTAAATGAAACATTCATTAATTGTTAAGTAACAATCTATATTTTTTACATTCAGAACTAAAACTCTTATCAGAATATATTTTCATCATTTAAGAGAGAAGTTTAATAAATGTAAGACGACCGATTCAGCAATCTATTCCACATTTCTTGAAATGGCCCAAATCAAATTATGGAATGGCCAATCTTGCAATCCATCCACATCAGGGCAATTCCACGTTCGATTTTTGCCTTAAAAAGAAAAAAATTATTAATAACCATATATTATATTCAAAACATCAAATTAAATTCACTTTCCTATTCACAATTCATGCATGTTTCATTTTTTTGTCTAGTACTTGAAGTTAGAGAAAGTAACCGCTCAGAACATTAGCAACAATGTGATCAAGATCACTTTTACTTAATTTATCTTCATATGCTGTTACTCCCTAAGTTGATAACATCCTGATACAGATGTCTGACAGATTTAATCTGCCGAAGTTGATATCCCGACACGGATACCTGACAATCAAATTGCCGAAATTATGAATCAAAATTTTGCTAAGAAACGAATATATATATATATATAGTAGTATAAACAATATAAGTAAATATTTGGTAGTATAAAATGAATGAAATGAAAAATATAGAAAAACTTCCTTCGTATATAATTTTTAGTTCAAAAGATAGCATAAAAAAGAATTATTTTTGATTCGAATTGCCGAAGTTAGATAGGGTAGAAAGTCAACTTTGTTTCCAAAATAATTGTCTGGCTTAAAATAACCTATGGGTTACTGTGAATATTTATAATAATAATATATAAATTATTTATATATTATAATTTATGAATTATTTATATTATCTGTTCAAAGTTTAGTTCATATCACCATTTTTAAATATGTTATCCTGTTTTCGTTTAAAACCAGTTTATAAAAATATATTGCGATCCAATAGTGACATGAACCAAAATTTATATATTGATCAGGTATAATATAAATAATCTACAGGTTATTTTAAATCTATGGATATTCATTAGTTAAAAGTAACTCGTAGATTATTTATATTATCTGTTCAATATTCAGTTCGCATCTCTATGATCGAACATATAGATTATTATAAGATGGATATTCACAGATTTAAAGTAACCTGTAGATTATCTATATATTGTGTAGTATCATGTCTTTTTTTTAGAGCAAAACAAAATTTTATGCAATTTTGAAAATTTTGTTTTGAAATAGTCCAAAAAAATCCTAAATTATCTGAAAAGAAAGAATGCCACCTCCTTATAGAAGAGGTAAATCAAGTGGAAATCAAAAATACCAAGTATGTAAACAACATTTTAGTGATCTAACTGGACATGTCAAAAGAATGCATGGTAGACGTACCAAAAGCATTCATGCCCAAAACTCATTAAATCAAAGAAAGCAAAATTACACTGAACCAACTATGAATGAATGAAGAAACGATAGACAAGAACGAAGAAATGAAAGATTATATAATAAAACTATTATAATTAAAAGAATTGAAGATTTTTTGAGAATTCTTCATAGAAACAATCGAGAAGCAGCTGAAGCTGGATTTATTTTTTTAAAAAAAATTGAATGGTTTAGCAATTTGAAAAAAAAGCAAAAAATGCGAATGAGGATAGTCTTGAATTATTTCAAACGATTTATTTAGAATTTGAAACAGTAAAACATTGTAGTGATGAAGAAATTGAAAGGTATATTTTTTTAATCATAAGTATTTTTAAGTAAGTTTTAATTACTTATATTGATGATATTCATTAACTAGTTTACGCAAAG